CTGAATATGCAAGTGGTGCTATTTTATTTTTCGCAGCTGTATATATATATATATACATATGTATATCACCTAAGAACACTAAATGTTCGTATATGTCTGATTTTGCATTAAATGTGCTTTCGTCATATTCCTTACAGCACCGTCGTCTTAGTTATAGCCGACACGCAGTAGATGACAGAGATTTGTCCACACAGGTGAGTTCATGAAAACACTTTGACAAATCTCTGAGAGCACCTATAGAGTACTGTCGCATATCTATATTTAACAAATATGATTTCTATGCATATATCATTTTAGGTCAATTATAAAATGCAAATGAATTTCCGTCGCATGTTCAACGATCGCAAACATCACAAGCGCAGCAAACGAGGCGCCAGCAATAAGGTAAGCAAAGATCTTTGATCTTCAATTGTAAATTAGATCTTAACATACAATTATTTCTGCAGGAGACCAAGGAGAATGTTAAACAGAATCACGTCTCCTTCCATGATTTCCAGCAGAACGGCACCGCGAAGCAGCTCTCCAATGGTACGAATACGCATCCGAGTTCAAACCATTCACGCAAAAAATCTTACAGAAAAAGACATACTCACAATTCACTTAACAAATATCGTAGATTAGACATAGGTAAATGCCGCTAAATGAATACAGAAATTAAATATTTAAAAAACAATGAAAACAAACTAATTCCTCCAATATTTAGTAGCTTCTGTAGAGAGCTAAAATCAAAATTTAAAATTTCAGTTGATTATCTAGACTGTAGCTGTTTTCCAGATGTAATCTGAGCATTTAAGTAGAGTTTTTTTTTTCGATTTTTATGATTTTATCAACATCAATACAAATTAACCAAGTCTAACTATACATAGCCTGCACCTCATTACATTTAAGTTTCTTATGCATTTCTAATAAGCATGTCAGGGGCTCGTAAAATATAAAACAAATATATTTTTAAGCTTTATAGTACATTCTTCCACCAATAAATTTTACGAACCCTTTCTAACATAATACATCCTACTGTGCTATTAATAATTTTTTTTTATAAAATTCATTTAAAGAAAAATTGGTTACTAAATCTAAATGCCCAAAAAATCTTCTTTTTTTATCTTCCTCCTACGACACACGCTATCCTTCCCGATGTCTACCAACAAAAAAAAAACAATTGGTTGAACCTAAAAACAAAATTGTTAAAAAACATTTGTTTTGCACATTTAACAACACTGACAACACGCACTCACCAAAAACAACCCATTTTGTATTTAACAACTCCATCCATGATATATATAATCTTGTGATATTATATCATCTAAAGACTATATTAACGATGTGCTTAATGAAACAGCCGAGGATTGCCAACAGAATCCGAATGAGATCAATGTCATTGGACCCAGCGACGATTGGGACGATGGTCTAACATTCACAGCAAAATCATCACGTAAGTTCCATTTGCTTCTATATGTTCCATATCTATGTCATTAATCGGAAACTAATTCGTGTAAGCGATATACCATATAGGGTTATTGGTGGCCGGGCCATTGCATTGCCTTATAAAAGTTATGATTTCAATGTTTCTCATTTATTGGTTGAACCTCTAGCGATCTCTATGCTGAGCACACGATCGGTGGTTATATAGCTAAAACCGATTTGTGTTCTTCTTTATTCCTTTTCAGTTCTTTTCGTTTTCAATCTGAACAACTGACTACACAAAAATGCCATCAAGTATTTTATTTGATCCTATATCGAAATGGGCCTTACGCCAGACTTGATCTATATGATATTACACAGTTTGACACAACTGCTTAAAGTACAGTAAAAATAGTTTCGGAAGGCTATGAACATTTTGTACGATATGCTCTAGTTGTTTATTATATCTAGTAGCCGAAGTTGTTTTGCTGTTAAAATCTAGATGAAAATTTGTCTATTTTTGTATATTCTCCCACTTTTTGATGACACATGAACTGACTCAAATGATAACAAATCAACTCTAGAGCCAAAGCTTTTTATAAACCTTTTTGATATATTTTTATTCTTATTTTGACCACCTAAAATCGCCCTTAAACGCGTAATCTTTGGCTAGTACTTAAAATAAATAAACTAAAAGCTATAACGACAATATTTCTATATATATTTTTTTATCCCTATTTTATGCCTATCCAATTTCATTTGATTTGACATACCAATATGTTGCTCGATATATTCGTATATATCCGTATATTAGCTGACTCGGATCGCGCCAATAATAACTCTCTGATAGCGCATATACAAAACCTGCCCGGTTTTGATGCATCTAAAGCGCGCATCGTTCAGCACTATGCGCCCAAACTTGAGGACGGTCCTCAGCCAGAACTAGACTCGCCCGATCCCCCAGTTGGACCCACAGCGGCCGAACTGATCCTGCCCTGGCGACGGGATCGTTCATACCAGAGCATTGGTAAACAATATCAACAAGAATCAAACAACAACAACAACCACCAAAAATATCTATAATTATCTGAAAACGAATCTTTGGCTATACAAAATATGTATATTCAAGCTCATATTCAGCGACATTCCATATCTTCCATTATCCATACAACTATGAAATGCATATACATTTGTAGATCATCCGCTTAGGCTTGACCCACACAAATATCTCTCAAGTTCCTCATCTAAATTCTATAGGAATTACATATATACAAAATATTGCCAGTATTTCTATTTGTGTAAATATTTAAAAATAAAGTACCTATGATATCTCAGTTTGCATAATTAAAGTTTAAAACTTAAAATTTCGTCAGCATTTACAGAGGAGAGAAGCGTAATAAATAAGTTCAAATTGATCTTGATGATAATATTTTTTTACCAAAGTATTTACAGTAGATATCTCTAAAATATCTAACAGAGTTTACTTTACAACTGGCGCTTAAACTTATTTGTTTTTCTTCGCTTCTCCCGTTGACTTAAAGTTGCTCATCTCCATTCACTCTTTTGTCATTCGTCATTCATGAAAACTGAACAAGGCCAAAGATAAATTCTTTGAATAACCAAAACCGTTATCTATCTCATAATCTCTTAGAAATTGAATGTACAAACGTAAATTGTGCTAAACCATTTGAAGCTGCTGTTTAAGCTATACCGAGTTTAATTTAGTTGCTTCCTTATTTCTCTATTTTCCATTTATTTTTAGTTGTGTTAACAGATTAATACCTAGGCCCGTTTTATTAAGTTCCTATTAAATCAATATTATAATTTATCGACATCCTTATATATTCCTGAATTGGCAACATACAAATATATAAGCTCAAAAATGCAGTTAGCTTAACTACCTGTTGAAACTTAACAGCTAGATCAGCTGACAGCCTATTTGAATGGGAGCATGATACTACTGGGCCTATGTAGTCTGTACTTAATCATCTATGTTCTTTTACTGTCTTCAATAGTTGTCATCGATGTCTGTGAAACGACTGATTGTTATATACCTATATCTATGTACCTAAAAACTCTCGCTAAATTGCTTGATTGATAGAGAAAACCCAAAAAAACAAAACACCTCTGCAATACAGTTCGTAGTGCCATAAATCCATAACCAATGATAATAACCATAGGCGTTCATCTGAAAAAGCAATGCCAAATTTAGTATTTACATATATATAGAATCCCATAATGTTACGCAAATCAATTGAAATTGAAATCACAAAACAAAAATTGAAAGCATTTCAAGCATTTGAAACATTTCGAGCATTTTAAAGCGAACCAAACAGCAAAAGCAGCATGGCATTTTTGTGCATGACAAAGTTATTTGTTGTTGCCTTCCCAGAACCATATACAACATTTTAAGTTCAAAGACGCGTCGACACAGCAGATTTGTCCAAGCTATTGGTTTTTATTCGAAAATTTTTATTAATATTTTTTTTTTTCATACAAAAAAGACGAATAGAAGCAAATCGAATCGAATCGAATCGAAGATGTCATATTATAGTAACATTAAAATTTAATTGGGCTCTTTAAACTTGTTTGTAAATTATGAATTCTATACTTTTTTGTTTCTTTGATATATTATCTTATTGCAATAAAAGTTTATTTCAATTCTATTGGCATTATATCGAATTTTTAAATAAAAACTTACAGTTTGATGAATCTGTCCAACTAACGCCAGTTCCGATATAATTTAAGCTGACGAATCGGTTCAGCCGCTGGTTCGCGCTTCGCAGCTTTGTCATCTCGATTCGATCCGCTTTGATTTATGTATGCTGATTCATCCTAACGGAATTGTTTTGCATTTTAGTTGAGTGCACTTTATTCATGTACTCCTCTCCCGATATTTAGTAGTTATCGATAACTGAGCTTAAACGAACTAGCCAAACTGAAGGCGCGATGCATGCCACAGAATAGTCAAACAAGTTTGAAAACCTACTGAATGCAATCAACAAATTTCTATCCCATAGTGGCGGAGCATCCAATACCCGAAGAGGACCGCAATTTATCGCGCGACTCGGATGGCGAACGTCGCGTAGCCACGCCCACAGCCACAGAGTCGCAGCTGCCGTGGAAACGCCAGGGCGATGAAAGCACAGACGCAGTGCAGCAAAATGAATTTCCCGCCTGGGCCTCAAACAAGGAGTATTTGGCATACAATTCGCCCAGCGCCACCTTTCTAGGTAAGATACAAAGTTAATCAAGCTGCTGACGAGATAGCAGCCAGTCCAGCTCCAAGTACGGACGGGAACGGGCAGTTTTCCAACACTGAATGTACAAATTCCGGTTCCGTTTCCGTTACGACTTCAACTATTTTTATTTCTGCTATTCAAATTATAAATGTAAATTGGCTTAAAAAAAACTCTATGAAAGAAAATAAACATATGTAAATAACTGAAGTTACATGTGTATATAACTAAATATGTATAATTGGTAAAATATATAGTTTTCTCTTGTGTTTCTTAAGTGCACCACAGCTTTGAGCTCGAGACTAAACGAAACAAACCAAAAAATTCTAATTGATCGTAAATCACATGCAGTTCTTTTTCTATATGATTTTATTTTCTTTAATTTCCTGAACTTTGTGTTTTCTTCTCTTTGCCGCATCGTTTATCCTTTGGTAATTGTTGCCCACGCCCACACACCGATACACACACACACACCCACACTCTCTGTCTCTCTCTATCTCTCGATACCGTGTACATTTTGATGTTGCCCGCAACCAACTGTGCTCGCTCCTGACTCACGCCCACGTAGGTGGTATAAACAAGCCTAAACAGCCCAAGTCCGTCATAGGTCTGTTCCGTCGCGAAAGTTCCAGCTCGAAGGCCGGCAGCCTGGGCCTGGGCAGCAACAGCAGTGGTGCGGTGGATGCAGCCACAGCCAGTCAGGATCTAATGGCTGTGCCCAATGCAGGCAACGCCATGAATCCCAATGCCTCGACGTCCATGCACAATCCACGGCTGGACAACCGCTCACAGTCCATCTCCTCGAGCACGTTGGGCGCTCACCTGGTGGGGCCGGACGGTCATACCGGACCCTTTCCGGTCACGGCCAGCCACCGCCGGAACGTGCGACGTGGCTCCATGCTGGAGCTTAGCGGGTAAGTCTTTGTCACGCCTGCGGCACACTGCCACACTTTGTTGTCCACACGCGCGCACACACACACACACAATCAGTGTGCACATATATGTATGTGTGTGTGTTTTGTTTTGTCTTTATGTAGCTTGAATGTGCAATGCATGTGGGTGTTATTGGTCGTTGCTGTGCTTGTTTTTTTTTAGCTTTTTCTAGGACTGTTTGTATATTCCATAAACTTCATTAAACAAGGGTCAAAATATTTAGAGTATAATTTTTTGTTGAATGCCAATCAATAGCTTCCACCCCAATTCGTATGAGCTCAAAAAGATATAACGAAAGCAGACCTGACGAAAGACTATATCTTGCTTAAATCAAGTTTGAAATAATCGGAAACAAAATTTTGGGATGCTGCCTCATATCGTATATCATTTATATATTTTTCTACATTTTACTAGTATTCATTGATTTTTACTAACAAACGCTATACAATTTCGTAAGCTAAGCATGCATAAAATGGCCTATAAAACTATATGTGTAAATATAAAAACAGAATTTTCGCTTCAGCATATAAACGTTATTTGAGTACAAAGCCAAGCTATTTACGAATTTCGTCAATAAAAATTAAAAAAAAATAATAATAATACAAATTTTGTCGTTTGCTCAAATTTACTTTTGATTTCGCTGATTGTTATTTTTTTTTTACATTTCGAATATATACACCTATTCTTTCTTATGCGAAACAATTGATATTATCCATGATTTCTTTTGTAACTTTTAAATATTTGTGTGCTCTCAATTTGATTTCGAAAAATATAAAAAAAAAATGCGAAATACGCGAATTGGTAACGATTTCGCAGACTTATAGCAACTGGACGCAGACCCAGTAGAATTTTGCTCTGTAGTCCTGGCGCTAATAACTTACTAGACAACACAACAACAACAACAACAACTACAAGAACAACAGCCACAACAACAACAACAACAGCAGCAACAGCTATCAATATCAAACCAATAATAATAACAACTCCAACTACAACAACAACAAGTACTACTACAACAACAGCCTCAGTCAGCAATAGCAATTCAGCAAATCAAACAGCCGGAAATTACAATTCTCCGAGCAACTCGTCAACAACCAACTACAGCTCACCCACATCGGAGAGCAGCGGCGCTACGTACTATTCAAAGTAATCCGAGTGCCCAAAAAATAATACCACCAAAGGGCAATCAAAATGCAATGCAACTAAAGCCGGCCAATGTCGAATTTCAACTAATCGTATATCGTAAACCAGACAAAAAGAAACTAACACAATATAACCTATGATCAAACCTATATTTATATATACATATATATATATATATATATGTATATGTACAATATATGTATATAATTTGTATAGAGATCAGTCCACGCATATCTCATTCAGTCAGTGCAAATTAAAATTCGCGTAGTCTTTAACTATATACACATACATATAACTGATATATATAGATCTGATCTGATTCAACTTTCAATGTCTCTGGCAATTGGCATTACTTCATATCGCACTCATTAAGTATTCTATGCAGAACTGGGCTCCGTAATTGTATGAGTTGTCCGTATGCCTAGGCAGGAACTAAATAGATTGGTGTAACTATCCCAACTAACTCAATTTTCTATAGTTTTTGTATATATATAATTTACTAAAAAGTTTCTGTTTTCGACTAACTGATTCATTCTTAACACTTATTCTGTAACTTAACATGTAGTTAACATTTTACTAAAACCAATTGCACAATTTGCTGCTGCTATCGAAAATTTGCTTTATTGCTTTCAACTTTTTTGTTTATAATTTTGAATTATATTTTTAGCGACGTTTCAATTGAGTCCGTATAGCAGCTGTCTATGCCACAGCCAAATGCTTCTATCACACTTAATAGACACCACAACACACCACATATATCAATATTTTCCAATTAAAAATTATATATACAATATCCAAAATAGTAGTCGAGCTGTTGTAAAAGTCTAGTATTTATTGGCTTTTGGCTCTTAATTATATATATCAAATATATGATTCATAAATATGTGTAAGTATTTTGGCTTGCTTTATATGATTACCACGTAGTTAACAACTGTGCTAACCAACCCCAACAAGTGTTACTGTTATATGTGTTATATTAGAGGTATTCCTGTAACTGATTGACTGGGTTTGTTTGTCTGAATTGACAAGAATCGTTTTATATATAACTGTTGTATACATAGAGGGATTTCGTATTATTAATAATGGCCTGGAAAATAGAATACATTAACAGTTTATTACAGAATAATATGTAGTAGAATTGATTTAACTAATAATCAATAAAGACGTGAGTAGCACAATAAGATGACATATATAAAGCAAAAGAATACATACAAATATAGATATTGAAAAAAAAAAAAATTAGTTTTTCCTACCAATCTTAGGTGATTTTGTATTACTCTCTAGTTTCTCATCAGTCTGACGAACATAAATAAAAGCAATTGTGAGGTCTATTAGAAGGTGTATCCTAAACAAAGGTTCAGTTCAATCAGTTACATTGAGATATCTCTCGCAATTAAATACTAATCTTCAACATTCTCAAACATATATCATTCTTACTTTGAAAAGAGCTTTGAAAACAAACCGCTGGCAGTTGTTTGAAAAGTTGTTTTATATGTGCTTACCTTAATTTATATATAAACAATAAAAAAAAAAAAAAATTACATTAGCTTATACAAGTTTTATTTATATATAAACAATAAAAAAAAAACATACATTAGCTTATACAAGTCTTCTCCTCACTCTGTAAATTTGCTTTAAAGTTTCTCTTTTTCTGCTTACGCTTCTCATTTTTTACTATAACGTGTTCTATATTATAATTATTTCTTTGAGTTGCCAGAACCCATTGAACATAAATGTGCTTAACAATGAAAAATATGACATTTGTTATCCTAGGAGCGTGTGTACTGCGGTTCAGAAATGCTGTGCAACCAGGTGCAAACCAATTCCGAATCATTAATTATGTTATAGTAGTCTGTGGTCGATCTAAGGGACTGTGTGTGAAAAAGGCCCTCCTGATAATAATATCGACTATTATAATACTGCTATAAGCATGAGTCTAACTTAGATTAGGATAAAAACAATACTATTCCTTGGGTTCAGGACATTTGCTAGTCGGATACTCTCGACTAGAGCTTATTCAATTTCTTTGCTTTGTAGTGATTTCAGTATTAAAGTAATATAAACAAATTATATGTAATCTAATTGTTAAAAGCTATTGAGTAATTAACACAATATTTGATTCGTTTATTAGTTATCTATCGGTAGAGGTCCCCAGTTAATGAATTAGTTTTTTAGCCTCATTGTAACCCATGCTCACATATCGCTCCATCTCAATCAAAATTGAACCCAAAATTGACATTTCTTTCTCTCGACTCTCTCTTCACATCCATTGCCCAACCGCACACAACAACTACAACAACAACAACACAATCACAGTGATACAATACCCGAGGAATCCACCTATCAGCACGGCCACTCCAAATCGCTCTGCGAACCCGCGGATGGGGATGATTGGGACGCGATGCCGCTTACTAATACCGGTGCCTCCGTCTCCGCCTCCACGGCGGGCGAGAGAGTAAAGAATTCGGGTCGTGAGCCCTTGCTACCCCGTTTAGCATCAACACCACGTGCCCAGATCCGACACATGAACGCCGGCGCTGTGGGCGGTTCTGCTGTGGGCGTACCGGGCTGCAAGAATCAAGTGACCACCGCGTTGCTGGACTACGAGGACACCGACACCGACACCGAGGACGATGACGATGACGAGGGCGAGGATTTCGATTTATATGACGATGAGAATATTGTGGTCACCACATTCACAACCCCACTCACGCCACGCCTACACGAGCTGGGCAGACGCGGTGGTGGTGGAGCATCAGGCGGTGGTCCAACCACCAGCACCACCACCACGAGCATTCGCCTGACGCGCAACAACGATGAAAGCATCATTTGAGTGTCGAGCAGCGCAGATGCAGTTGCTCCAGCTAGCTGGACAGCTCGTGCTCGATCCAGATTTAGTCCTTTCCAATACGAAATGTTCTACTGAGATCAGCAACGATTAAACCACAACGTAGCTATATACATATAGTTCGTTCTATATGTGCACCCATTTTGGCTTAAAAGTAAAAAAGAATGAAAAAACATCATGTTAAAAGTAAATAACTAAAAATCTGTATATACATACGAAGGGAGAATAGCTACCAACGGCTTGCCGCAAAAAATGGCCCTTGCAGAGGGGATTCTATAGCAGCAACATGTATAATTGATATAAGAGGATACACTTTTAAATTTCAAATTTAAATTTAAGAAAATCTAGAATACGGATGCTGTCAAGTATATAAAGAGATCAAATCTTCTAGGCTCAAAAATTCACTCTGCAAGGGTATATTACCTACCTACCTAGTCTAACAGACAAATTTGAATGCTTCTTTGAAAAATTGGAAACGTATCTACTTAAATATATATTCATATTTTATTGTATTTCATTGTATTTAAACAAGCCTAATGCAAATGTGTTCCAGAAACAATTGTGTTATCATTAACAATTTAGCCAAAGTTCAGATTAAGTCGTAACATTGTTTTTGCTTTTAGTTTAGATAAATTTATCTTAAATACATACATATATACCAAACAAATATACATACATATATGAGCGTAATTTGAACTGTGTTGCTAACCGGTACAGCTACAGTGTTTAGTTCAATTTTAGTCATACTTTCAAACTAATTAATTAACTACTGAAGTATCCGTTAATCAGCGTGTAAGAAGTAAGCCGAAAGTTTTTGCCATAAACAGTCAAGTTGCAAAATAATACCAATAAATGAATAAAATCGTATTCATAAGTGAAACTAAATTAGTATATTATATAAATACTAACTAACTAGTTCATAGCTACTTAGCAAGAGTTGTGTAATTTATAAATTATTTTTGTAAACATTTACGAGCCACAAAATGAATAATGTGAAAGTTTAGCAGGAGACGGTCGCTCGAGGCGACCCAAGTAAATCTTATCGTATAAGAAGTATGCGTGAATTTTGACTGTATTACTAGATCGAGGCAAAAACCATATATTGGTATGGAAAATTAAGTGAAGAACACTTAATGCCAGAACAGAATCCATTTCTATCATCAATTTGCTGATTTCAAAACTTACAATTTCACTTGCGACGCGCTTAGCCGATAATTGTTTACTAGATTTGTGTCCTAAGTGATTCTCTGTCTAAGTATATCCAAGAAATTGCCTTCTAAATATGCACATTTGAGCTGAATAAATAAAATAAAAATACAATTTACCGAAAATTCAGTTAAGATTGGATATGAATCATACTATAAAAAAATAAATTTTCTTTGGTTAACTAAAAAATATTCTATTATTTAAACGAAAGACAATAAACAGCTGCAAGAAATGTGCGAGTTTCTTGTGAATTGTCGTTTCACTTAAAGAAGAAAGAAAAATTATGAAATAAAATACTTGAATGAAATAAAATCAGAGCTGTGTTACTTATGAGCGCGTTTTCTATATAAATATACATAATATGTAAATGCCATGAAAACTTTATATTATTAACGACAGCTCACCAAATAAATTCCTTAAGAGCATGAAATAAACCAAATAAATTGAATGAAATTTGAAAATAGTTTGCAAATTTTCATACTGTAGGCCTTAAGTTGTGCATATTATAAAATATAATAAAAAGAAAAAAGTAAAGTAAAATTCACCTAATTATTTAGCAAAACACAAACCTAAAATGGAAAAAATGAAATACAGCAAAAATAATACACAAAAAACTTGTAAACTGTTAAACTGATTTTAAATATTGTATAAGAAAATTTTACTAAAAATAAAAATCAAAGCAAAAATCAAAAATATTCATATTACAAATCATTTCAAAAGCAAGTATAAATATGGCTCAGCACCAGCAGCGCCACTGCGTGCAATTGGGTTTCTTGGGCAGCTGCCAGTCCATGATGACACCACGACCCACCAGACGATTGTTTTGGTCCTCCATCATTGCCCGCGCCAGCGTCTCATTGCATTCAAAAGTGACGTAAGCACAGCCCATCAGCTGGCCATCTCTGCGCTTCGTTATGTGAACCGATCGAATTTTGCCGCGCAGCCGTTCGTCTGGTATGGCATCACTACGTTCAGGCCCTGTCACTGTCTTAGAGCGCCAGTGTTGCCAGAATCGCTGCAGAGGACGTAACGGCGTTTGATTGGCTGCCGTTGCGGTTGAGGCTGCGGTGGCACTTGCGGTTACGGTTGTGCCAGAGATTGCGGTTGAGCATGCAGTTGGCGCGCTTTGAGTTTTTGTTTTCAGCACTGTGTGAGTAAGTACATAAGACGAATATCTAGAGAATTGAAAATCAAAATATGCTATAAATTGTATTTAAAAATAAAAATAAAAAATGTATGAAATATTGTATATATAAACTTATCTCTGATACCACCTGCCGACAAATAACTATACAAGTATCAACGATTTTGTTTGAAATTTCGTTTATACATTTATTTCACCAAATATGTGTTAAGTTTTTTTTGTTTTTGTTTTTTAATTTCATAGTTTTATTTCTTTTTGAAACTGATATAGTTTAATATGTTTATTGGTATTTTCTCATTTTAATATTTGCATCTCTTGAAGAACATTTTCTTTATATATGTATATATATCTGTGTTTAGTATGTATTTATGCATGTATTTATGTTTGTATCTCTGCAGATCTAACAGATAAACAGGACTTCTACATAAGAAGTTCAAGTTCCATGTGCATAGCGTACGTTATTTCATTATATATGTATGCATGTCTGTATGTATGTGTTAGTATGTAGGTAAATATGTATATCGATGGTCATCATTTCGCTTTAAAGTGTATCTGAGTGTGTGTGTGTGTGTGTGCTAGCTAATGCGTACATATATAAATAATTGCCGTTTATTTATGTAGTTCATTAGTATTTTTTTATTTTATTTTATTTATTTATTTTTAAATTTAATAATTTTTTATTTACTGCTTAGTTAAATTTATGAACGCTTTAACGACTAAAAACAAATACGCGTATATGAGCATTATATATATGCAAGTGTGTGTGGGTGTTTGTTGTGTGTTTTTTTGGCTCTATAAGAAGTGTGCATTCCATACTTAATGTAAACATAAATAATTTTCATTCATTTTGGTTTTTTATTTTGTTTCCTTTGTCTTCTTTTCGCTATTTAACATTTTGCTAATGAAATTTGTATAATTTACTCAATATATATATCATATTTTGATTTTGTTTTCAAAATCAATGCAACGTCAGCTACACACATATGTAAATATGTTTCTAAAGTTTCAGCTAAAAACTTGCCAAAAAAAAAAAAAAAAAAAAAAAAAAAAAAAAAAAAAAAAAAAAAAAAAAAAAAACAGGAAACAAATAGTAAAACATTTTAATCAGGCAAGTTTTAGGAAAAATTTGTCTTGTCTTTTTCGTTATTGATTTGGATTTCTTTTTTTTTTTTAATAGTTATAGATCCTATATAGATGCATATTATGTATAGTTTGTGGTATGCAATAACAAGTTACTAATTTAGTTTTCATCAAGTTATATTCTGGATATCGTTTTGAAAGGCAATCGAGAGTGTGAGTGGTTTCATTGTAGATATAGCATTAATAGTATATTCAAGTATATTTATATATTTAACCATAACTAGCATAGAACTGATGCACAGCATAACAGAACAGATCATAATATAGCTATAATTAAATACATATATTGTACTAGAGCATAGCATGTTTATATATAGCTAACTTGTATTGAAATCGTATAATGTTCTACCCACAAATTTTATACAATAAATATTTAATATTTTTATCAGATTTTGTTTTTTTTTTACAGTATTCTAATCAACTTTTAATCCCGCTTTAAATGCTGCTTGCAAAACTAATTTAAATATGGCAGTTAAAGTAAGCGCTTAAAGTATTAAACTATTAAATCAGGTCTATAAACAAAAAACTCATATATGTATGTATATAAAGTTAAGCGATTGAAGATGTTATACGTATTACCAATACTGTTGTATGTGTGCTTTTAAGCCTTCTCCTCCATACCGATTTGTATATAGTTTATATATATTTGTTTGTATATATAGCTGTGAATGGTCTTTATACTTAGTATTTAGTTAACAATTAATATTAAATATATGTTATATACAAACACATGCGCATATTATTGAAAAACACAGAAAACCATCTTTATATATGTGTGTAGTTTCAAAGTTAATTAATATATAATATATATATATGTATCTTGAATTTTATTTATTTCTTCGATTTTATTTGGGGGAAAACACTTTAAATGTTTATAGTATATGTATATGCATTGAGTGAAACACATCTAATAAATACAACAAAATTGTAATATTTTGCTTGATATAATTAAGTTTTTCTTTTATCTCATTCTATATGCATATTATATGTATGTATGTGTATATATATATACTATTAAATATGTTTGTATGTAACTTGATTTCGATTGCGATTTGTATTCATTATGGTAATTTGATTGATTACATTTATGAGTTTTCTTTAAAGTTGCACATTTGATTTTAGGACAAGATCCTTGAATCTTAAAAAAAAAAGTAAAATAAAACATCTCATATATCTAAAACTATAAAGCTGAAGATGATAACTGCCTAAACTTGTGAGAGCGAGAGCCCTAACTTTTAAACAACTTCAATATTTTTTAATACTCATTAAATTTGTTGGTACAATTAGGATGGTATGTGATAATATAAGACGACTTTCAAAGTTTGAACAAAGTTACGAAACTAAAAAATATCCCGCAAAATTTCGACTAGATACTGATTAATTTTTGAATGAACTTAATATATGGGTCCATGTAGACCTGGTTTTATTGTTGTAGTTGTTGTGTGCGACGTACTCCTAACGCCGCTTAAAGACCAAACCCGACGACTCGTTATACGTTTCCTGTGCGGAGTAGCAAAAAGTTCAAAGATTCAAATTCAATTAGATTTTGGATTTTGGACTTTCTTTTTATATACAGAATAAACATATTTGTATCAATGTATAAATAATAGCAGGTAAAAAAAAGTACAAAAAAATTATACAAAATAAATACAAAATCAATGGACTAAATACAGAAAATGTACGTATAGTAAATATATGTATATGTATATATATATATATGCATGCATGTAAATGCAAATTAATATCAATTAAAGCTAAAGATTGGCTAACAAAGATACAAACGTGTTTGGATTGGGCATTTAACTTAAAATTAAATAATTGCTAAACAACTAAATAATAACAATTAACAATAAAGTATAGATAAATCATACATGAGTGTAGATATTGCAACAAATTAGAACTAAAAATCATTAGATAAATAGCTTCCGAAACGTTAGGCGTGGCGAGAACAAATTGGCTTTACTTATTCGATATAGAGGCAGAAATTAAAATAGATTTTTTAGCTTTAGATACATAAAGTAAACTGGAATGTGCGTGGGAGAGAAGAGAGCGCGTGTGTGTGGAGAGTGTTACTGCTTGTAAAGCATCGTCATGGTTGTGACTGGCGATTGTTGTGGAGATTCACTTGGTTTTAGTCCCATTCACTTTCGCTGGCTTACCGGACGTAACAAATGGTCCCACATAGTTGCTGGGGAACAGACCAGACAGGCCATTCAGTTCGCCGCGCCACCATTCCGGTTCATCGCGGCCCAGTACGCTAATTATATCGTCCTTCTCGAACGAGAGCTCATCATCGTTTTGTGCTTTGTACGGATATAGAGCAATCACCTTATCTGCATATGGAAAAAAAATTAATATTAAGAACAAGCTCAACTGTTGGATAAAAAAATAAATAGCCAACCCAAAATCTGTTCGGTCATTTCAATGCGACTGCCCGAGACGGGCGTATTACGTCCACTGTTGCGTCCGCCCTGCAACACCTTGACATAGGTGGCTGGGAACCAACCGATTTGACGCCTTCTGCCCTTGGCCTGCAGCTCACCCTCCCACCAGCCAGAGTCGGTCTTCTTGCGTATCATGATCAGCTGGCCACGTGTCAGCGACAGTTGCTCGCTGCTGGTGGCCTCGTATGGTGCAATGACTTGTGCTATCTCCGAACGCTTGGCGCGCATACCCTGCAACGTAATTAACGAAATACGGATTAGTTAAAATCTAAAGAGCTGGAAGTGGGGGCGCATGTAGGTCAACTATTTACGGGTGTCATGGAAGAAGTACGTGACATGGGCCGGCTGTAGCTTTCGGCCGGTTCGCTCTGTGATTTGGATTGTGTGTTTATTTGCGATACTTCAGTGTCGAGATCTTCGTTTGTGTGCGACTCCTCCAGCTCGGCCGGCTGGGTCCGTGACTGCTTTACTTCTACCGCTTCTGGCTGAGCAGCATACGAAGCACTAATGCCATTGTGTGTGACCTCCTGGACGAGCGAGCAGCGTGATGTGTGTTGATGATATTGGGGTTCAGCAAATGAAAAGCATTGGATTAGTAGATGAGCACATGATGGTTAAACACGAATAGTGCGCTACTTTATACAGTTGCAGTATGTATTATATTTGGCTGCATTTTGTGAGTTATACAATTATGACATGGACTCACCTGTTCAACGGGTTCAGGTTCAACCGCAGTCTCAGCGGAATTGGCAACAGCAGCTGTGCCAACATCGGCCTTTTGTACATAGTTCGATGGGAACATGCCGGTTCGATTGCCAATAGTGCCCGTCCACCATTCGCCCTCCTTCTTGATGACCATGACCATTTCACCAGCACTAAAGCTCAGGTCACCCTCCTCGGCGGATTCATAAGGATATGCGGCTATATAGTATTCGACATCACCTAGAGCAGCATCAGTGACAGCAGCAGTAGCATCAGTTGCTGCCAGCGCTGACTGTGCCGCCAAGGTGTTATTGTCCAAGTAGCTATTGGTAAGGGTCGCCGCAGTATCAGCAACACTTGGCACTGCCACTGCCTCTCCGGTTGCCAATGCTGTTGACCCATCCTCCAGCTTCTCCACGTAGGACTCGGGAAACCAGCCAGTATGACCATTAATTTCTCCGGCCAACCAGCCGGGCTCAGCGTTCTGCTCCAGAGGCACCAAAATTATGTCGCCTGGCACAAACGTAATCTCCTCCGCGTTGCGCGCATTGAACTCATAAACTGCACGATATTTGACGAAACCTTCAGGCGCCGGTCCACTCAGGTCAACAGCGGTTACCGTTTCAGCAGCGGCTGTATCATTGCTTAGGCCATAGCCTCCATAGGCATCGACAGCAGCTGGCACGCTGGTGGCAGTGCTGCCCCAGGCGCTGCCTGTATCCCAAGCAGATGTGGCGCTTATTGTGGCTGCCTCATTCTTGCGATTATATTTCAATTCCAGCACCGCGGTGCGTTCCACATCGTACTCCTTGTACAGATCTTCGCATTTGGTAATCAATGCAGAGAGCTCGGCCTTCAGCTCCTGCATGGTTATATCGTTCGAATTGAGATCTTCTTTCTTAGATTCGATTTCTTTTTTAATGTTTTCCACTTTATCCTTGATCTGCTTAATCATCAGCTGCAATGAACATAAGCAATAAATATGTCGTATATTTTTTTAAAATCTTGTTCAGATTTCCTTACCTGCTTGTGCGCAAACGCCGCGTTTAGTTGCTCTTGCTGTCCTGGCTCGCCGGCTATAGCACCGCTAGCTTTGCTCTTGGCCTCCCATTTTGCTCGCTCCTGTGTTAACTGCAGCAGCTTTGCATTTTGCTCCTTGATGCGTGCCTTCAACTGCGCCATTTCGCTCATGGACGTGTCCCGCTGAGTGCGCATGCCATCAATCACTGACTTGACATTGGTAACTCCAGCGCGTGTATCGCATATCTTTTGCGATAGATCCTTGATCTGCAAGAGATACGAATTTAGTTATATATGAATTTACATGTGTACTCTATTCACTGACCTTTTCGTTCAGTGTGCTGAGCTCCACGTTTAGCTGAGTGTTGTGTGCCTTCTGCTTGAGTACACGCTCCTGCTCCCGCTGCTTTTGCGCATTCATTTCGGCAATGCGTGATTGCTCCCATTCTTGTTGACGTTGCTTCTCCAGCTCCCTATCAAGAAGAAATTCTAGTTATTTTACAGTATTCACTTAGAATTTATATGTTTGTCCACTGACTTTCTGGCCGCCTCTTTGGCCTCCAGCTCACGCTTGCGTTGCTCTTCCTTCTCTTGTTCGATTTCACGCTGACGCTGAAGTTGACGCTCCAGTTCTTCCTGCTGCTTTCGTTCAGCTTCAAGACGTGCCTTTTCGCGTTTTTCCGCTTCCTCCCGTTCCTTGCGTTCACGCTCTTCCCGTTCCTTACGCTGCTGATCCTCCATTAGCTTACGCCTGCGATCCAGTTCAACCTTGCCCTTCTCATAGTTCTCCTTGCGTTTGTCCTCGAACGAAGCTAAGTATATCGATGGTTTTATTATAGTAATGAGCATCTAATGTTCTACTTACTTTGCGGCAAGCCGGCAGTTGGATCAGCGTCCGACATGACGGCGCCCTGTGAGGAAACCGACGTGTGACGTGATGTAGGCTGCGAGCCTGGGCGAGAACCAGTACCGGACACAGAGCCTGGTCGCGACTTGATCTTACGCAGGCTGGGCGGCACCCAATCGAGTGGCAAAGTAACGGGTATCTTTTCGCCAGCCATAGCCTTTTCGCATAGAAACATGGCTAAGATGAACTCGTCGCAACTGAGTCGGCCATCACCATCTACATCGGCAAGTGTCCAAATCTGCGCCAGCGTTACCTGCGGCAATTTGCTCTGCACAAGCACACTACGGGCCTGTGCTCCCGTCAAAAAGCCCGACCGGGTGCGATCATTGGCATTAAATACCTGCGTGTATTTGCGTTTCTGTGCCGCCTGCACGGCCCACTCTGCCTGCCTGTAGATGGAGAAAATAATATATTAAAAGAGTGGCTCTCTTTTCTTCTCTGGTTTACTTACGGCGATTCAATGGAAGGAGCACGCTCCGAAATGGACATATGCCGACTAGGTGGATTGCTTTGCGGAGGCGAGACAATCGCTGCGGGCACAGCAGCAACAGGAACCGCAACTGGTGGTGGAATCGCCACAGGTGGTGCCACAATTGGAGGTGGAACGACAGCAATGGGCACGACCGGCGGTACACTTGCAATGTTTTTCAGTGCATCCACGGGACTCATGGAGCTGGTTGAACCACGAGGGGTCATGGCAGGTGACGGACCGCCCACAACATCCGTTAGCGAGCTGAGCAGTGTGGGCGGCAAAGTTTTGGGCACTTCCAAGCCGCGCAGCTTCAGATTGATAAGCTTGCAAGCTATGCTGAACTCATTAATATTCATTTTTCCATCAGAGTCGGTGTCAGCCAGTGCCCTGCACGTACAGAATACAAACAACATTTTAGAGATGTGCGCATGTATGGAAATTTATAGTACATAATCATAGATCAACATATTATATCTAGATATTCTTAATTTTTATTGTATATAAATCATGATTTAATCATAATAAAAACGTATTTTTTTTTTTTTTTAATATTTTTCCAGTCTTTAATAACACATTTACTGCAATTAATTAACTATGGTTTCCTAAATGTATAATAAGTTTACTGTGTTGTTGACCATTTTTTATTGAAGAGTTATGATTAATTATAAGTGAATAGTGCCAACATATAAAAACCCATTATTAACTAATAATATTTAATGGTGCTACTTAATGAGAAATATTAAATATTAAATAATAAACATATATAAAACGTTTTATATTTGTCGTGATTCGTGCCTACGAATATGAGTTTGCAGCAATTCATTAACACATCTCTAGTTCATATCAACAAAATGGGAAAGCAAAGAACAAAACAAAGCATCGGAAGAATGGTTGTTATTGTCGTCTTATCTTTGCCAGCATTGCATAGTGGATAACTGTGTATGTATGCAAGTGTAGGTGCACATATTTGTGTGTATTAAAAACAAATGAGTCAGTTCCGCTACTCACCATATTTGACCCAAGATCAGCGGCGGCAGCTGAGACTGCAGAAAAAATCCTTTTGCTTGGGCTCCAGTTACAAAACCGCCCTGGGGTTGAAGTGCCTTAAACTGCTCCTGGTACTTGAGCTTCTCCCGCTGGGTAATAACCCACGCATCCACTGCTGGATTCATTTTGCTGCCCTGTTTTCTGCGTGCCTCTACTTGGAGTGCGAACTTCGCAAAATATACTACTTTCTGTATATATTTTTATGTGTGTATGGTTGTATGTATGCGTTCTTTATGCTATCCACACACGCTTCACGCCGTGTATTTTTCGTAACCGACTTTGACTCCCCTACACCGACAACAAACAACGACAAGAAGCTTTCTCGCAGTTGTGTGCGTGTGTTTTGTTCTTGTCTAATGCGCTCTCTTCGGCCGCTGAGTACACATCAAATACATGTCATGCTCCTCTCCACTGTGCACTCACACACACACTCTCGTTTGCGCTGGCTTACGCTCTTTTTACTATTGAGTATCCGTTTTGCTCCCACCACCCCACAATTTTTCACAATGGATTTTTATGGTTTACCTAAAATGCAATTGCAAATTGTTAGAAACACATCATCTTATCTAACGGCAACAACTACAACCGATAAGAAATAAGAAACTAACACCTCAGCTTAGGGTTTGTAAATGTTTCAGTTGTATCGGAATTGACACTTGGTTATTTGGTGGGCGTTTTGGTTGTTCGAAAAATTCACCTCCGTATTTTGCTGGTATTGATTTCTATTTAATTCTAATCGTTGGAGTTGTGTGCCTTGTATGGTGCTCGTTTAAGTGCTTACTTTTCATTTGAATAATAAATTTTTGTTACGTTTCTGTTATTTTTTAGCTTCGTTTTGTCGTGTAAATTAAATGTTCACGAACTAAGCAAAACGAACTACCCCTCAGGTGAACGAGCCGAAAAAATTAACTTTGATTTGGTTTGTTCAGTAACTAGTTCAGGGCTACTGTAAACCGAGACCAATTTATTTATTTAATTAAATTTAAATAAACACTTATAAGACGTGTTTGAATGCTTATATATTTGTTGGGTTGGTGATAATTTGGAGGGAAAATGTAGCTGGGAGTTTTATGGTACATTGCAAAATATTCAACTAGGGTTGCCGCCAACTGAAATAATACTCGATACTTTTACGATAGAATATGCCTTCCACATTTTACTTCGTAGCGTTCTTTTCTCAACGAGCACGTGTGGCGACTGGTAATATCCGCAAGAGCTAAAGTGTAGAAAAATATGTAACAGTATGTCGGAAACTTCAGAAGACGAACAAGCGCAAGTGGAAACAAGCGAGGAAGAGATAAGCGGTGAGGAAGAAATTGAAGAGGACACAGAAGCTGACGGTGAAAATGCTGAAGATCAAGACACAAGTGACCCTGGTGAATCTGATAAAGAAGCTGAGGCTACCATAGGCGAACAGCCGCAAACCTGGAAAGATCTTGTAAATTTCTGAAAATGAGCAAGCAAATCGAACACTATTCAATTATGTTTTTGTAATATGTAGGGACTTAACGAGACTTTATGCAAAGCATGCGAAGAGCTGAAATGGAAGGCGCCTTCGAAAATTCAAAAGGAAGCAATACCTGTTGCACTGCAGGGCAAAGACGTCATTGGTCTGGCCGAAACCGGTTCAGGCAAAACGGGAGCATTCGCCTTGCCCATTTTACATGCATTGCTCGAGAATCCACAGCGTTATTTTGCGCTGGTGTTGACGCCCACGCGTGAATTAGCTTTTCAAATAGGCGAACAATTCGAAGCACTGGGTGAGTGTTAAGCTATTTACATTTTATTCATATGTATGTATATATATATATATATCACCAATGATGTAGAAACCCTTTTTGATTTTGTGTTCTTAAACGAAAATATGAAATTATTATTTCTTTATTCGTCACTACCTCTGAGTAAAAATGTTATCTCTATGGTAGATTAGATCAAAATGAGCAAAATTTCAAACAGATCTTTTCTCTATCACTCTCTGCAGGTAGCGGCATCGGCATCAAATGTTGCGTGGTGGTCGGAGGCATGGATATGGTGGCACAGGGTTTGCAGCTGGCAAAGAAACCGCACATAATAATTGCTACGCCCGGCCGTCTGGTGGATCATCTGGAGAACTTGAAGGGCTTCAATTTGAAGGCTATTAAGTACTTAGTCATGGACGAAGCAGATCGCATACTCAATATGGATTTTGAGGTAGAGCTAGATAAGATATTAAAGGTTTTACCTCGCGAGCGTCGCACATTTTTGTTTAGCGCCACGATGACAAAGAAGGTTAAAAAGCTACAACGCGCATCTCTTAAAGATCCCGTCAAGGTGGAAGTTTCAAATAAATACCAAACGGTGGATCAGCTACAACAGTACTACATCTTCATACCAGTTAAATACAAAGATGTGTATCTCGTGCACATACTCAACGAATTGGCAGGCAACAGCTTCATGATCTTCTGTAGCACCTGTAACAATACTGTAAAGACGGCACTAATGCTGCGCGCTCTAGGATTGGCTGCTATTCCGCTGCATGGGCAGATGTCTCAGAATAAACGGTTGGCTGCTCTGAACAAATTTAAAGCGAAGAATCGCTCCATATTGATATCAACAGATGTGGCTTCGCGTGGTCTCGACATTCCTCACGTCGATGTGGTTGTCAATTTTGATATACCCACGCACAGCAAGGACTACATACATCGTGTTGGGCGCACTGCACGTGCCGGCCGGTCTGGTCAAGCCATCACTATGGTCACTCAGTATGACATTGAGCTGTATCAGCGCATTGAGCAATTGTTGGGCAAGCAGCTGCCGCTCTACAAATGCGAGGAGGACGAGGTGATGGCGCTGCAAGAACGCGTCGCCGAAGCGCAACGCACGGCTAAGTTAGAGCTGAAAGATCTAGAAGATAGCAAGGGCTATAAGAGCGGCAAAGGCAATAAACGCGCTGCTCCTGGTGATATTGATGATTCCGAGCAATTTACAGGCGCTCGGAAGCGCATGAAACCCATTGGTAAGGGCAAGGGAGTAACGGGTGGGGGCCGCGGCAGTGGTGGGGCTAAAAAGAACTGGAATCGGGGCAAAAAGAAAAACTAGATTTTAAGTATTTAAATTCGTTTATAAATTTAAGTTAATAATAAAACAAAATAATATACACATTTTAATTGTGTAAAAATTAATGAAAATAAAAATACAAATTTGGTTCACTTAGCGCTGCTCAACAGTTAAAAGCGATAAATCAAACATCCAGGACGCCTATAAAGCGTTTAGTATTATTAAATTAATAATATAATTGTTTTTAAATGCTTACGTAATCAGTTAAAAATCATCGATTTGCCGAATTACTTCCTCCCTTTCTTTTTTTGAGCCGCACTGTTGAAGCGTCTCTTTAAGTTTAGTAGCGGCTGCTGCTGATTTTTTTCCTGTGAAGATTGGTTTGGTTGCTGTTGCTTTTGATGCGGCGGCTGGGTTGATGGATTACGTAAACAAGCGTTAAGGGCTGTAATGACCGAAGTCAATGTGGCATCCTTTAGGTTTATGGGACAGAAGAGCGTCATCTCCCAGACTTTCTTAACGAGCGCGTCGTCATTTTTGGCAATGGCATCATTAGCTAAGCAGACCATAAATTCGCCAGGTATGGGAAATTTTTGATTGTTGAAGAGATGATACAGTTGTGGTAGATAGTTAAACCAATCAGCCGACGCAAGAATTCGAAGAAGTTGCATAGCAAATTCTGGATAGGTTTGACCAATTTCTGGACCCCATAGATGCTTCATAATGTGTTTGGTTGCTATTTGTGGCATTAGCTTGTAACGCATTAAGATACAGTAGAGTTCAGTTATATAGGGTGCACTATACGCCATATATAAGCCACAATCCTCAACCATTTTCATTAAATACGACATCATGCCCCGATTGCCATAGATCTCAGCGAAAATGATAAAATAGTTGCGGAACAACATACCATGTCGCAAGACCATGCTGTAGGTATCACACAATTTATCAGTCGTCATCTGATTTAGCTTGCGTTGCACATCCCACGGGCTCGCCAGAATGTGATTGCAGTTGATGGCCTGGCACCGACCGTCCAAATAGGCCCAGCATTTAATTCCAAATATAAAATATTTCCTATCATTTGGAATAGAAGTATGAGCGGTGGAAGTTGACTCCAAAGGCACACGATATAGTGGCCCAAAGAGGGGCACATTATTGGCTTCTCGTGTAAGTAACGAACCCTGTCTAATTGGATGATGTAATGGAATGAATTGCAGCCGTGGAAGCGATTGCTGCCGTCGCTCTTGACATTCCTGGTGCTGCAGCAGTTGCTTCTTATGTTGTGGTGTTGGCTGCTGCAGCTCTATCTTTTCTCGGTCCACAGCACTTGGATTAGATTGCTCTTCCAATAGTGCCTCAGCCTGTATAACTCGTTCCTTCTCTGGCTGATTTCGAAATGACTGTTCCAGTTTCTGGTGCCGTGTTTGATTCTTTTGTTGTGGCTCTGGCTGCTGCAGCTCTATCTCTTCCCGGTCTACAATAGTTTTAGTCGGTTGTACTTCTTCTTCTTTATGTGGCTTCTCTGTTTGAGTATGTGTCCCTTTGAGTATGCGGTAGGACAGCAATTCCTTGGTCTGCTTTGCAGGTTCTGTATCTGCAGCGGCGCTCGTCATCTCAGGCTGCTCCCCAATAGTTGATTCCTTCTCAGACACCGCGGGATTCGACACTGGCAATTGATCATCGCCATCCCAGGATGTGGTCACCGATATAGCATCATTATCATCATCATCATCTTCCACATCAACATCATAATTGAGCGTATCATTCAGTAGCACAGCCATTTCCAAAGGCGTTTTATCCACTAAAGTTGATAGACTAGGCAAATTATCGAAAAAATCAGATGTATCAGCTATCTGGTGATCAATTTCACTTGGCGTCTTATTAATGAACACTTCCAAACAACGATCGATTTCTTCAGCACCCGATTGAAAAATTTCGCATTTGCCAACGTCAGTCAATAATTGATTTATATCCGTAGTTCCGCCACCTGGTACAGCCAGTTCCTTGACTTCATTGATGAGCTTATCTTCTAATTCACAATTGGCTTTGGAATATGTCGATTCTGGTTTGCCGAATTCAAAAGACTCCGTCTGGCCTAACGTTACGGAATTGTCACTTCTTGGAGTTTCTATATCGTTACTTAACTGAGTTGTGCTGAGATTTTCAGGCTCAATTGATAACAAATCTTTTTCAATTACAGCATCAGGAGCCGCAGTACAAGTCGGAAGACTGGTCGGAGACATATCGATTGCTTTTTCTGGCATGTGCGCCATCTGTTCATTAATCTGTGGTAACAAAAAAAATTGATTAGGTGGCGAGAACTCTAGAGTAACGCAAATTAAGTTTACAGCGTTTGATTTACGGGAGGATCTGGGGTTTCTTTTTTTCGGATTCCCTTGCTGTTGTTCTTGATTTGCCTTTTTTGGTTCTTGTTTCTCTACATATCGCGAACGAGTGCGCATCCCATATCGGGTTTCTATTAGCTTTTTATTTAATTCAGGTTCTGCCCTGGAGCTTAAATTAATACTGTCTAATTGCTCTTCAGCCTTTTTTGAACAAGTCTGCCCGGAAAGCTCTGCCAAGGAATTTTTCAAATTATTTTTGCTTTCCTAAAAATAATAACATTTTGCATTTATTTAAATAATGCGTTTGTGTCTTGAATTACGTACCTTAGTATTTGTTATAATGTGTTCTGGCTCGGGCTCAGGCTGCTTCTGCTTTTCTTTTTCTTTCACAGATTTTGAAAACGAAATACTCTCGCCCGCTTCTTCCGACGGTTGTAACTTATGCTGCTCTGATTCTTGACCTACTTGTTTTTTATTATCCGGCTCCATCTCATCAGTTAATTTATCTTGTACTTTTAGCTTTGTTATCCCAATGAATTCTTGGTTCTTTTGCTCATCCTCCAGCTCATTCACCGGCTTTTTATAATTATTCTTTTCTTGATTCGAATTTTTGTTTCGCATCATCTGATTCTTAGGCTGTGTCTTCGCCTCATATAACTGATCTAGCTCAGCTTCTAGATGGCTAATCTCCTGCTCTAATTGAAGGTGTTCCCTTTGCTTATTTAGAGTTTCTTGTTCCTCATCAGATAGCTGTTCTTTGCGCAGATTCCAATTGTCAGATGAGTCACTCTGCACAGTAGGAGTGCAATTTTTCGTAAGTTTTTTTATTGAAGATTCTGCAATATCTATTGCTTTATCTTTTGGCCTGTTAGATATCGATACTCTATTCCTTGTTTTACTATCCAGTAACTTTGAGCTTGTCATTGGCTCATCTATTATGATGGTATTAGAATTTGGAATATGATCCTCGACTTTATCATTTGTATTTCTCTTTCGCGTACACTTCATTCTAGGAACCACTTTTGATTCATTTGATTTCTGAATCAATAACCTATTATCCGTCGCTAATTTAAGGCGTTTTCGCAACACATGTGGCACTAACTCGTTATTAACAATCCGCGCTTCATTATTCCTTTTTGTGCGTTGAATTTGATCTGGTTTAATTGAAATATCATCCTTTAACATTAAGTCAATCTGTGGGGTAAAAAATAAAACTCGATTTGAATCGTTAGACTAGAACATCTCTTCTACTCATTGATTTACACTTTCAAGACGTATATACGGCATTTCATTCGATTGCATGTGTTTCCAGAAATTCTCATAGTGTTCCTGCCATTCCTCAGCGGTGTATTCCTCTACACCTGTGTGTTGTACTATCTGAGCCCACAAACGTAAAATGTCACGTCGGTGCATCTTCAAAAAACTTAAATTTAAGCGCTTTGCTCGCCTGTGGGAGTTTGATGTCAGGAGTCCACGTGAAAATATAATTATCAAAGCACGCCAGAACTAATTTAGCGCTTTCGTTTCGACAAGTGCCGTTACACTGGAGATGCCCAAATGATAAAGCGTAGATGCTTTGAAAAATATCGATGACTTGGCAACAACAAGAATTGAAAATTAATTAACTGGCTAACTTTTTCTTATAAATGCTCAATTGACTGTGACCTGTTTTTCCTAATTCAGTAATAATAGCAATAAGAACATTATTAAACAATTAAAATTATCTTAAATTGGACTCATCGCAAATCGAATTGAACTGCATCACTATGGCTAGTGCTCGCGGCTACAGTATTAAAGGCTCACATCACTAGTTCTGCAATATTTCCATCTCTAACATATCGTGGTTAGATTGCCTGTGGCGCTTCGCATACAATCGTTGCTTTGCCACTATGGTCAAAAAATCTAATTTTCTGACTTAAAGTCAAAATTTGTTTGTATTAAAAATACACGAGAAAGAAAAAACCGTTATTATAACTAAAAAATTTTAACAAATAGATTCGCGTTTTATGGAGTATTACTTGTGAGCACGCTAGAGCATGTTCTGTTTATGTTCTGTTCAAAGGTGTGTTGAAAAGGGAAAAACCACAAAAATACTTTGACTCCAATGATCTACCATTATCTCACTAATTATAGGTAAGTCAAAACTCCCAATCTAAATCTTGGGGATGAGATACATATGTATACTACCACCATATTCAGGGAATATCATAATGATGGGCCATTTGAAACTGTTTTAAACAACGAAGCAGAATAATGGTACTGGAGGAGGGGGTTACCTGTTATCCGAAACCAAAATAAAAAATCCGAAATCCTATAATAATTTAACAAATAAATGTGTGAAATTTAATGACTAACTTGAAAATAAAACATTATGCCAAAAGATCGGTGTTTTCGACCAGTACACATGATAGCTCCTTATTATTGAATTTTGGCGGTAACAATTGCCTATTTAAAAACTTTGTTAACATAACATTATGTAACATTATATATCTTCCTATCTGGATCTTTAACTTAATTAAACTTCAAACTATCTCACGCATTTTGGGAGCGTATTGTTCTTAGAGTTTTCAAAACAGATAGTGTTGGCAAACAAAAACATGAAACAGCTGACTACACTGAAGGGCGACAATCGAAATTTAGGAAAATTCCAGATGTACATACATGTAAACCTTATATTGGTGTTATTAGTTAGTGAGGGGTTAAGTGCCAACCACATCAGTTCATTATGTTGAAGAGAACATTCAAGTGTCTTTACATTATAGGACGTCGTCTCGTAATACCAGTTCTGGTTGTTATTCTAATATTACTAGTCGTACTATCCTCTATCAAGGACCTATCCATTATTTCGAATGGAACTTACGGCTTACGTAAATTAAAAGCTAAATTTCTTTCAACTGAGAATGTTATCGAGGACATACTATATTCGAGCTCGCAACCTCCGCCAGGACGCAGCATTTTCTTTCATGAGACCAGCTGCATTTCTCCAGATCGATTGGGTATCGAACCCAAGATTATGAATTTGACGGCTCGACAAGCCTGTTGCATAGAATCGGCTGCTCTAAATAATCCCAACTTCCAAATTTTTACTGTGTTTTCTTGTCCCACTTATCGTCCACTCGTCGGTCGTCAAAAACTTCTCGTCGATGCCATCGAAAGCTATGAGAACGTGAACCTCCGTCATTTGAGTCTAAAAACCTATGCTTCAGGCACTCCTATTGAAGATTGGGTCCAAAAGGGCGATTTGCTTACCTCTAGGCAAGTTTGAAATTTTAATTAGACTCCCTTTTAGAGAGTAACG